TATCATATCATATCATATCATATCATATCATATCATATCATATCATATCATACCATATCATATCATCATATCATATATCATATATCATATATCATATATCATATCATATCTGTATCATACTTTGTTTTCTGGTTTATTTTCTACTTTTTCTTTTTTATTGTTTTTTGATGTGTGGAGGTGTTCAGCTGTGCTCTTTGGTTTTTTGGGTTTCAGTTGAAGGTGGAATAGGTGTGATATTGACAGGTAATCCTCCAGCTATAAAGGGGAAAAGTCCTACCAAGTGTGTAGGTCACTTTGTGAAGTCATGGTGAATCATTCTCTGAAACATGAGGAAACTTTTGTGATTTTGTTTATCTTCATATTAATGATTTAAACTTTGATCTAGTCTTCAAAATTGATTGTCCTTAATACTAAGATTAAGAGAAAAAGACTAATTGTGTGTTACATAATTTGTCTTCATGTCTCTAAACATGAAGGTAGGCTAGAATAAGAGAAACTGAGCTTTTTAAACCCCAAATCTGCTAAATTTGGCTTTAAATTTTAGGCTTTGTTTCAATATGTTTTAGACTTAAAATATGTTAAACATATTATTAGACCTGGTCTTTGGAATAAGAATCATTTTCTGAATACGGGGTTCATAAGGCCAACATAAAGTATTTCCAAACCTGTTTAAAGGCTATTCAGTCTTGTTATATTACAAGTAATACACAAATGTTAGGTCCTGATAGCAAAGGATATTTTTATTTCCCCATTATTTCTAGCCCTGTCTTTATAGCAATTTGCTGTTATACCAGAATAACCAGAATGAGCAAATATTTAAAAAATGGTTAATGAAATGTGAAATGCTAGAAGGAATTTTATTGTCCATTTTGGAAATAACGCAAAAATAAACAAATACATAAGTACCAATCCTAGTACCTTTAGCAACAAGAACAGCACACTGCCTAAATAGTGACAATCGATTCAGTGACTTGCTTTCTGCAATTAAAAGCTGCCATGCAAAAAGGAAAGTGTTTAAGCACGAACTCCTCCATCTAGGGATAAGCATGCATTATTATTTTGTTCATAATTGTGATTGCCTTCAGAATATCAATTTGTGAACAGAAACTCAAAAGCCTCTATGGCTAATACCATCTTCTGCAAATGGATTTTATAGCATATTTCAGAAAAATATCATGAAAACAATTATTTATCTGGAACCTTAAGAATAACTCTACTACTGAATACAGAATATAGTCAAGAGATCAGAAAGGGATAGCAGAGTATAAGTATCCCTTTCTCTAAGAAATTTGATCTT